TGAGCGAAAATATAATTAAATTAACATATCTTCATTCATTAGAGTTGATATACATGAGAGACATACGAGAATGAATGAAAGTTATACATATAATCATTGCCTTAATGGCTTACATCGTTCCAAGTCACTATTTGGTTACAACAAAAATAAGTTCAGCTCAATCACAATTTAAAACCCTAGGCTATACAAAATACATACAACAAAAATAGAAGCTCTCGCTCTAAATCCTTCCAAGCTACTGTCTTGTCGGAGGCATATCACCAACACTTGAAAATGGTTTTTTCCAAATAGGGTGAGCCAAAATCTAGTAGAAATAATCTTGCACAATATACGAGGTTTAACAAAGATATAAGTAAAATGCATAGATTCAATGCCAAATGACAAAATCTTTCACAACTTTTTTCCCAAAACCAAGTTATACTAAACTTACAACTTAATTCATTTTATCCCAATTCACTATTTATACCCACTTCGCTTAATTAATCAAACAGAGGATACACCTCACAGGTCTCCAACCAGTATTAATATCATACAAATACATTCACTTGTCATTTTACGAAAATTTCATTCGCGGGAATCGGCATGCATGTATACACGCGGTTTTCGGGACTTTCACTCTAGACACACAGGTCAACTTAATTTAATGGAGTCCATCCTATTTCTTCTCCCATATATGGAGTACATCCCATTTCTCCTCCCAAATATCATACATATACAATGTATGTAATTCATAATCATATTTAATGATAACGACCAAGAGATTAGTTTGAATACGCCTAATCCTCACTTAATTTCTACAATAATCTTGGCTATCCTCTACCAATAGCCCAAAACAGATATTTCTAAACAGATATACAATCTGTACAATAGATAAATTATCCAAATTTCCATGGGTGAGAGATTAAACAAATCCAACTGCACCATTTATGTAAGTAACCTCTCAATTTCACACTTTCAATACCAATTTCATTATCTATACAAAATAATTATTCAAGACATTTTAGAGCAAAACTTCATTTTTTCCAACTTCATCACAAACACCAAAATCAATCATTTTAACACCACACAAGCTCATATCTACTCCCATAACCATTTCCAATACATTTATTTGAAAACCCTTCTTTCAATTTTGACCCAAAACCCTAAGTTTTTTCAAAATCACAACAAGTTCCAATATTTCTTACCCAACAACAAATAACTAAGTTAAAACTCATAGAAGAGTGTAGAAAATCTCTGCCTCGAGTTTAGAAGACCAAAACAACAATGGAGCAACTTTGATGACGCCAAAATCAAATCTTGTTCGGACCAAACCAAAACTGAGCTCTAGAGACGCTCTTCTTTTTTAACAAAGGCACCCGAGTAGAGAACCCAATGGATCTAGGTGAAAAAGTAGAGAGAATGTGAGTTCTAAAGAGAGAAGCTCAAGATCTAGGGTTTTGAAATATTTTAGAGAGAGAAAGAGATGAAAAAGTGATAAGAAATGTGACTGTCACGAACTGATATATGCACAGTCCGCTTGAGTGCAAGAGTTGACGCTCGAGTGCCAGACACAATAAGTTGTTTCGCTCGAGCATAAGAAGTGACGCTCGAGCGCAGAATACACATAACCAGTAGTTTTGCAGATAACAGACCAACGCTCGAGTGCAAAAAGAATTGCTTGAGCTTAAAATACACTCTTCCAATTTTTTTGCAGACCTGCATAAATACTGAGAGTTCGCAAAGTCCGCTCGAATGCAAGAAGTGCCGCTTGAGCGGAAGAGCAAAAATCTGGGCAACAAAGATTTAAAAACTAAGCAACCAACTTGTTCTAAACATGTTCCAACCAACTCAATAGCCAAACTCAAGTGAGAATAAAAAGGAAAAGTTACGAACAACATCTAGAAACCATAAAACTCGAGTCCGAAATATCAAATGGGTTAGATCAAAACTGGAATCGCTATAACTAAGTCGCTCTTATTTATAGAGAAATTAACCCTAATTATAATAGGAAATACGAGGCTTAGTCCATAAATTCATTTTATGGACTTTAAGGCTATAGAGTCAGGCGTGTTTTGTTTAGGTTCTTAAGGACATTATACGTTGATCTGTCCTCTCCGTCTCCTCCTACGCACACTACTCTCTCTTTTGTGTTTGAAGAAAGCTCAGACCTACAAATCCCCAATCTCCATCCGATGACGATTTAGGCTCTAAATCAAACTCTCCTTCCACAAATCCTCGCATCAAGCCTCTTGCTTCGAAACCCATGGAAGAAGATCCAAGGCTACTAAGAAACTTAGGTCTAAGTCTGGTTCGGTAAAATCTGTCATGAAAGGAGAGCGAGAACAACAACAATCAGGTATCGAAGAGGATGAAAAAGAAGGCGGTGAATTCTTATTTGGTGAGGTTGAGGCTGAGGCTAAGATGAATGCAAGTTTCTCGGTGATGCATTGGCGAGTTTTGAGAGTAACTTAGTAGGTGTTTGGCATGCACTAAAAAAGTGTACTTTTTTTTTGCATATATACACTTATTTGGGTCACATCAATCAACATGTATCAACATCTCCTCTCTACTTTTCTATCCACTTTCTCTACTTTTCTACACATTTTTTTAAAATAAAAAGTCAAAAAGTGCACTTATTTAGAACATTCCAAACCATTCCTTAATCCATGGCGATAGTAGAGGTTAAAGAATGGTATGTGAATGTGATTTTGGATATTTTGTGTATGCTTTTGATTATGGGTATTGTGAATTTTAATAGGTATGGTAGTGATGAAGATATATACATATATGGATATAGATGGGTTTACATGAACGAGGGGTGTGGAGATTGAAGTAGCCATTAATAGCGGTTGTGGAGAGAGAGAGAGAGAGAGAGAGTATGTGTGTTTGCACTGTATATGTCTATCTGTACAAATCCTATACAGATAATATAGATTGAATTTGTACAGATAAAAAAATTGGTATAGATAAAGAAAAAAATATTAGGACATATAGATTCGATTTGCATAGATAAGAAAAAAACCAGGACAAATACATTAAAATAATTGTAATAGATAAAAAAAACTGGATAAAAAAATTGTAACAAATATTTTGTAACAGAAAAAATAAAAATTTGAACAAATATGTTAAAATTTTTTTTTTGAACATATATGTGGCATTTGTGGAACTAATTCTGTTAATAGACTTTTGACCAACAAATTCAAGAAAGTGGTCCTTATGTCCTCAACAGATCCATCCCTTGTCCTCAATGATTTATAGGGTAGGGAATCTGGATTTATCAAGGATTTTTCCTAAGAAATAATTAGGAAAAGGTAAAACTTGCTTGTCAAGCCTAAATCAAAGACAATACGAAATTCACCAAAAATAGAAATATTAGTTAAGCCAAAATCCAGAAACTAGAATAAAAATTACATATTCTAAAAACCTAGCCTCAAATGAATTCTCCAAAACTAAGTAATTAGCAAAACAAATCTTTTCAAGAATGACAAAATCGCAGATTTAGAGGCCTAAACAGTGGAATTTAGATGAAATCCATCATACACCATGGAAAAGCGATGGGTATTGATCGTGACGCCATTTTCTATGTCTCTACCAAATTCTACATCATTCCGAGCATGTGTCATCTCGTGTCTTTTGCCTTTGTTAGGAAATTAGGGAGCCCACAAGTGTACAACAACACTAAACTTCAAAGTCTACAAATGCCATATTAAGGCTCAACATATATTATTTAGAACTTGTACCTACTTAAAAGCTTAAGCGCTTAAGTCTATAAGTCGACAGTCTATCTAATGTATATTAAGATACATTTCTTTTACTCTTTATCCGATGTAGGACTCCACCTTCATATATGCTCCAACAATCTCTCTCTCACGTGTGAACAAAACATTGGACCTTTGCTTGCTCTTCCTCGAGTCTTGATCTATCATCCGCAAGTTCATCATAGATCATATGCAGTCCCCCTTAGTCCTGATTTATAACTCTCCAACATCAAGTCCAATCCATGCCATCTATATATACTCAATCATAAGCCACCATACTCTATTAAGAGTGCCACATAGTCGCAGTCTAACCTCTATGTACACCAGGAATTTTCTTTTTGCTCCATCAAGAGTCACCATGGATTTTTCTTACTTTATAAAGAGTTTTTGTGCAAGCCTAAGCCCAAGCCCACCAACATCAATGCTCCAGAGGAGTCCATTAATAGATCATCTACTATCGACTCTGATACCAGTTGTTAGGGAATTAGGAAGCTCACAAGCGCATAGCAACACTGACTCAATTCATTAGGGAGAAACTCCCAGAGTCCACTATTACCATATCAATGCTCAATCTATATTATTTGGAACTCACACCAACTTAAAAATTTAAGCCTACAAGTAGAGAGTCTATCTAATGTATATTAAAATACATCTCTTTTACTCTTTATTCGATGTGAGATTTTACATTCACACATATTCCAATAACCGTTGCCTTGTTTGTCCATGAATTCTAGAAACTTATGGCCAAACACTCTGCATCAATAACCAAAACCACAAAAATTGTAACTAAAGGTGCATGTGTACCTTAAAATTTCCCTATTTATATGACCTTTGGCAATGAATAATTTTAGCAAAAAAAGTTAAAAAGTTACTATAAGTTATTATAACATTCTCTTTAATTTTCAACACGTCTTTTCTTAAAAAATTAAAAAGCCACTAAAATAATCAATTCGTAAACACGTAATGTATTATAATAATATTGCGTACTTAAAAAAATATTCAAAAAGATATTTAAAATTTGAAGTAGATCAAATTTATTATAGGGCTTTGCTAGAGAGCTCTAATTAGAGCTGCTCAAAAGCAGCTCTAATGAGCTGTCACCATTTAAAAAAAAAAAAAAAAAACAGAGGAAGGTAAAAGACAAAACAGGAGGGGGAAAATGACAAATTAATGCCCCTTTAGAGCTCCAATTTTAGAGGTCTCACTCATTTTTGTTTATTATAGGTATAGCCCATCACACTAAATTTAAATTTACACTATAAATTTGGTTAATACATAACATATCTTTTATTTTATTTATCGTTTGGTGTCCAAAAGACAACCTTAATTACACGTTATCAACAACTTCTACAAATTTTGTTAATACATAACATATCTTTTACTTTATTTATCGTTTGGTGTCCAAAGACATCCTTAATTACACATTATCAACATCTTCTGCATCATCTTCACATGCGAAGGTACTACGATGCTATCATAGTAGTTTCCGTTAGGTGTCCAAAGACATCCTTAATTACACATTATTAACGTCTTCTGCATCATCTTCACATGCGAAGGTACTACGATGTTATCATAGTAGTTTCAACCACACATCTCTTTAGAGGGGGGTGGGCTTTTGGTACTTCATAATATACTACAAAATAGCTTCTGAATATTTCCAATGCTGAAGAGCTGTCACCTTCTTATTGGTTCATTGTGGGCTTAGTGATAAAGTGTAGGCTAATTAATGGTCGCATCCACTTCAAATGTGCTCATGTCTATGTTGAAACACTCCAAATCAAAATCAAAATCATTATAATCCAACAACCATGTAGAGTTACAATCCTCCGACGAAGATGAAGAAGAAGAAGAAGAAGAAGACAATCCGAACGCAGTATAATCTTGATCTCCTCCCGAAGTAGTAGCAAAGTTCCAGAATGCATCATCAAGAAATGTTTCAGATTGAATGCAACTCATTAATGGGTCGTCATCATCATCCTTTTGAGTTTCAAAGCCGGTTAAATTTTTTCGCGGGAAGGTAAGGTTGTCATTGGAGGTTGTTTGGTTGTTGGCATTTTCAGGGGACTCCTGACCGGTACTGTAATTGAAATTATCCGAATTCAGGCAATTATTATTATTATTATTAGAAGGTGAATGAGGCATTTGTTGAGAGATTATTATTGGGTCTGGTTCTTGATGGAGTGGTTCGTGTGTAATGGGATCAATGCCCATTTTGATGAGTTTTTTCTTTATGTGAGTGTTCCAGTGATTCTTGATCTCGTTATCTGTTCTTCCAGGCAAGCTTGATGCTATCTTTGACCACCTAAAAAATAAACCCAAAATGTCATGTTATTTGTGGGAGAAAAATTTGAACATAGGGCAGGCCTAACCCAATTTGGGTTGGCATAACATAATTGGGTTAACTCAACCAAACTGCCTACCAAATAACTTTTTAATTAAAGCTTGGAAATACAGATCCTTAAAAAGAAGTATGTCTTAACTCTGCTCAGTTTTATTTTGCAGATCCATGCTGCTTTACTACTCTTCTCTTTGTTAAACACTTCATTATCGACTAGTTTTTCCCACACATATTATTAAAAAATATAAATACTAATTAATCTAGTGCCATACTCAGAATTGCATCACTAAAAATAGTGAACATATATATACTCGATCTGTCCCAAAATATTAGTTATTTTTGGGGAATTCAACCTTTACAACTATTACATTTCAGAAATATTAATATTACAAAATTATCCTTTGAACATCAATTATCATAATCAATGAATTTAAAAGAACGGTAAAATAAGAAATTTATATCATTTTAGTGCTTAATTTTTGAAAATGAACTAATATTTTTTTGGGACAACAAAAAATGAAATAATAGATTAATATTTTGGGATGGAAGAAGTACTCTTTACGTATCATCATCATTACCATCACCTCTATCAACAAATCACCACCACTACTACTATCACTGTCGCCTTTGTTGCCACCAAACCACTTTTGCCACCGCTGCTGCCACCTTCACCACTATCCCACTGCCACCACCATCTCACCACCTCCACCTTATTGCCATTACCACCGCCACCCCATCACCCCACTACCCCACTGCCTCCACCTTTACCTTGCCACCACCACCATCAATAAAACTATTAGTGCATTAGTTTTAAAGACGGAATTAAACATAAAAAAAAACAATTATTTTGTAGAAAAAAGAAAAGAAAAGAAAAGAAAAGAAAAAGAAACAGAGCTTTAAAGAAATATTAATTGATGAGTCTCAAGCTAAGTCTGGGAAGTTTGGATAATAATTAAAAAGTTAAAAAATTATATAAAAAAAGTCAAAAATTTTATTTCCTCTACTTTTGTACATTTTTTTGTTGTTGTAAAAAGTCAAAAAATATCTCAAACATACTAATTTTTTTCATAACATCTTTTAATCAAAAAAGTAAAAAAAATATTCAAATAGTCTATTCCCAAAACAACCCTCAATATCACCTAAATGGAACAAACAAGAGTAACTAAAGAAATAAGATCCATGGGAACGTGCACAAGAAACTTCAATATATGTCAATCATTTGTGCTAAAATATCTATGCCTACACTTTTGTGCCATTAAAATCATTTTCCCATAAATAATTTGCAAATTGAATTTTTATAAAATAAAAAATAAAAATCATCCAAGCTAATGTTGCAAAATATTTTCCAAAAGATTTGGATAATTTGGGTTCTTAGGACACTTATTAAGTAATTTAAACTAATTGTGCATATTGCATGAACAAATGTATAATCATTTTAAAATTTGCTAATCACACTCTCAAATACACTTGTCAATCTTCAAATTATAAATTATTGTAATAGGACTTGTTTGGTAATCATTTCGTTTTCAGTTTATATTTATAAAAATTTAAAAAACTGCCATAAAACCTTATGTGATAATTTTTTTAGTTTATAAATGGCTGTCTTAGTTTATAAATTTGAGGAAAAAACGTAAACTCAAAACATGAGTTTACGTTTGTTTTTTAAACAGAAATTTAAAAATTTGACTAACAATTTTTTTTTTCAATTAATTTTTTTTTCCAATTAATTTTTTTAATTAAATTTTTTTTTCAATTATAATGTGTATGATCTTATTGTCATAAATAATAAATAATAAATATAAATATTTTAGGCTGAACAAACATATTTTTTAGTTTATGTTTTTAAAAATTTTCAAATATTTTGTTTAAATTAAGCGCATTTGTAATTTATGTTTTTTTAAAAATAAACAAAAATTAGTTTATAAAATTTTTGTAAAAATAAACCAACAACGTAAACGGTATCAAACGCTACCTAAGTGTTTTAATTTAAAATCAAATGAGAACAAACATTCTCATGATTTAAAAATTATGAACAAAAATTGAGAATCTCTCAACAAAAATTATATACGAAAATTGAGTTTGTATAACAGTACTTAAATATTGAGGGAACAATCGGCAGTTCTACAAACCCAAAAATAAAATTAAAATATTACCCAAATTTATAATCTATAACCAAGATTCATTTATAATCGAGCCGTACGATGACAAAATCAAATCATTTAATTTATAGACACAGAAGATGTGCCAAATTTTGATGCAGAGTAAGATTTTGTGGTGAAGATTAGGCCTCGTTTGGGAGCAAGATATTTTAGTAACTTTTTGATTTTTTAGGAAAAGATGTACAGAAAAGTAGAGAAAGTGATGTGACAATTTATAGTGACTTTTTAAAATAAACTAAAGGTGGACAAACGAGACCTAAATTAGTATAATGTGTGGTCATGTATAAAATAAATATGAATCATAAATTGATAAGTCCGTAAAATTCTCACTAAAAATTCTAAATTTATAAAATTCTGAAATCAAATCCACATCCCCCATGCAAATCTCCAAATAAGTTTTTGTTTTGTTTTATTTTGTTTTTTGTTTTCTAGGTTGATAGAGTTTATGGTGAGAAAAGAATAAATAATATAAACAGACTTAACTATTCAGAAATTATTCAAAATTATTATTTATCTAAGTATTACTTAAAATTATAATCTTATGATTTAAATTTATCCCACGCATAATCTCATTCCGAGTAAATTCTAGAAAGTTAAAGTGTGGTACATATAAAATTATTCGACAGAATAATGAAAGAGAAATGAGACCTATTGCCGAGGCGGGCATGAAGATCAATGACCAACTTCTCTTCCTCCTCGTTGAGTAGGCCACGCTTCAAGTCAGGGCGGAGGTAGTTAGTCCAGCGGAGGCGGCAGCTCTTGCCGCAGCGGCGGAGGCCAGCGAGCTTCGGAACGGCACGCCAGCAGCAGTGGCCATTGGTGAGGATGAAACTGACGAGTTTGGCGTCTTCCTCAGCTGTCCATGGTCCTTTCTTCACCACAAATTTGTCACAGCAAGGTTTCCTTCCCATCAGCTGCTTTATTTTTAAAAAAAAACAAAGAAAAGAAAAAAGAGGGAGAAACCACCCGAGTGACAAAAGTAAGAAGTAGTGATCACGGGAGTGGTTAGATGCCAATAAAGCCCCACTCACCCACCTTCCTTTATATACACCCAAAGAGTGAGTGATGGTGGGTGACTTTGCCTTTTTCTTTTGACATAAAATCATTTGTTATTATTACAAGTTATTTTTAGTCTCACCCTAATTTCAGCGGTTAATATTGAGTATAATAAGTTGTTAATTTAATGCATTAATTATTTTTTATTAGTCACATTGTTTCCATTTAATCTTTGTTTTTTTTGCTCCGTAAAATGTTGACAATTTAACTAGTTAAGTCAAATGTAAGTTCAAACATCAAATCTTTATGTAGGAATTAGACATACAACTACTTTAATTAATGGTCATTAGTCCAAAAGTTTAAATTTTAATTTTATTTCCTCAAAGGTCTAGGCATTGAAATATTTTGTCTAAAAAGACAAATTTAAGAATAATGACCAACATATCCTTCCTTATATATATATATATATATCATATATACAGTCCAAAACCTAACAAATCACACTTCATCTCTCTCTCTCTCTATATATATATATATATTTCCTCTACTCTCTTACTCTTTCTCTCTCTCCTCCACTGTGTCACTGCCATTGCCGCAACATTGGAGCTGCCGTCGACCTTGCGTTGCCGCTTCATACCTCGATGTGAGCTGTAGATCTGAGCTTCTCTGTTACTGCTCTGTCTTCCATCGATTCTGAGCTTCTCTGTGAGCTGTAGATCTGAGCTTCTCTTACTCTTCCTTCGTTGCCACCCTCTCTCTCTCTCTCTCCATGTTGCCACCACCTTCTCTATCGCCTCTTCCCATCATCTTCCATCATTCGTTGCTGCCGCCATGGCCCAAAGGACATAGATCTATAAATTGATCTCTCCCTCTCAAATCTACAGATTTGTCGGCATTTGTTCTCCACTCTACCGTCGGCCAGATCTGCAGATCTTTTATCATCGTGTTAATGAGATAGAATAGAGCACAACATATCTACTTATCTTTAATTACAAAGGTGAGATCCCTACCAAATCTACATCGGCGAAGGCAAGGTCGCCCAGTCAGAGCTCCGATTGGATTGTTCGCCAAGTCTGAAGACGATCTCCCTCCTCCACCTTCTTCAGTCGGCGATCTTCCTCTATCGATCTTCCGCCGACCTAGTAGCGGTGGAGATTTTAATATTACGATTCAAACTTCGTAATATATTTTTCATTTTGATTTTTTTTCTTTTTTCAGTAGATTTGAAAGGTATAATAATTCTGGTTTAGACTCAACCCATTTGATGTTTTGGATCCGGGTTTCATTGTCTTATATGATTGTTCATGTCTTGTTTCCCCTAATTCCTCTTTGAGTTTGGCTATTGGAATGTGTTGGTTACATTTGAAACATGTTGGTAGCTTGTTTTTCAAACTGTTGTTGCCCAAAATTTTACTTCTTCGCTCGAGCGACACTTTTTGCACTCGAGCGGTCTTTGAGAGCTCTTAGTACTTTTGCGGGCCTGCAAAACTACTAGGAGTTGACATTCTTCACTCGAGTGATCATTCTTGCACTTGAGCAGTGTTGGCTCTAACGATCTTTCGCGAGCTCGAGCGATGGTTGTCTGTCTGTAAAACTTTGAGAGTTTGTATTCTTCGCTTGAACGGTCACTTTTTGAGTTCGAGTGATCACACTTATTGTGTCTGGTCACTCGAGCGACACTTCTTGCGCTCGAGTGGTCTACGCGTATATCAGTCTGTAAAAGTCACTTTTTAGATCACTTTTTCATATCTATCTCTCTCTCTAAACAATCTAGAAACCCTAGATCTACACCATCTCTCTCTAAAACTCTACTTCTACCTACCAATACACCTAGATCTGTCGAGTTCTTCACCTATGTCTTTTTGTTAAAAAGGTAGAGCACGCCGTGGGCTTCCTTTTGATCAAAACAAAGTGGGGTTTGGGCGTTGTTGAAGTTCCTCCACTTTTTCTCTTATCTTCTTAGCTTAAGATAAGGATTTTTCGCATTTTCTTATGATTTTTAACTTAGATATTTGTCTTTATAAAACAATATTGTGATTTGGAGGAGTTTTGGATAAACCTAGGGTTTGGCTTGATTTCAAAAGAGGGGTTTTCAAATGCCTTGTTGGAAATGATTAAGAGAATGTATTTATTGTTGAGTTATGATGAATTAGTGGATTTTTACCTTTGAAATTGGTTTATAAAGGAATGAGGGTTTTACCCTAAATGTATCAAATATTGATTTTTAAAGGATAAATGAAATTGAATTTGGAAATGTGGAATTGGGTTGATATTGACAAGGATGGTGGAGTTGGATATATATTATCACTCACATCTTGAAATTTGAAAAGTTTATCCTTATTGAAAATTGTTTATATGTTTAGAAATATCTGTTTTGGGCTATCGGTGGAGGATAGCTATGATTGTTGTAGAAATTGCATGAGAATTAGGAGAATTGAAACTATTGTCTCATCTATTTTCATCAAGTATTATTTCATTTTTATGCATTGGAAATGTTTATCGTTTTGAGAAAAATGGGTGAATCTAGAAAGCATGTATTATCACGTTAAAATAAGTTGGTCTGAGTGTCCATAGTGAAAGTCCTAAAAATCGCACATATACATGGGTGTCGATCCTGCGAACAAAATTTTCAAAAAATGGCAATAGTAGTGCTTGTAGAGCCTACGTTTACATGGGTGCCGGTTTCGGTTTCCCACAGACGAAATTTCTGTGAAAGGTTGGAATTGTTTGAAATTCCCAAAGTGTGATTCACTGCCCTGTCTTCTATTGTAAAGGAAATGATTTCATAATTGTGATAACCTTGGCATGGCATGATTTTGGGAGAGTGATATAAAATGTTTTGACACAAGTATTGCATATGCATATGCATATCATTTTATATATTTGTTAAGATTCGTATACTGTGTTGGATTATTTCAACTGGGTTTTGGCTCACCCTATGTAGAAAAAACATGTTTAGGTGCTGATGAAATGCCTCCGCTAAGGCAATAGCTTGGGAGGACTTGGAGTAGGAGCTTCATTTTGTTTGATTGTTGTATATGTTTTGTACAAGCCAAGGGCCTTTAACTGTATTGGATTTAAATCTACTTTTGTTGTAACCAAGTACCGTCTTGGAAAGTTATAAGCGTTTAGGGCATTGATTATGTTTTACTTTCATATCATATCTTTGGTTGTAACACATGTTACAGATTTAGGTTTAGAGCTTGTGAATATGTCAATGCATGTGTTATCTCTTATATAATTCAAATCATATATGAATGAAAAGGATATTCATCTTGGAAGTGCACTATCTCATTTGGTTATATGTCATGAGCTATCGATATATCTCTAGGGCGCTACAAGAGGAGTATGGTTAGATAAGGAAACATCTTGACGTTTGGATTCATTGTGAAACGAAGATTTGTGTTATTTGATGTGGTTTTTGTCCTTCAAAGTCATTTTAATAGAAACGGTAGATCTAGGAAAAATGATAGACAACTATGCATTTCAAAATAACGTTTATAGAGAATAAATAAACTGTTTAGTTTTTCTTGTTATATTTTGTTATTGTTGTTGTTGATGATGATAATGATAATGGTGATGATCATTAAACAAGAGGAATGAGAGAGAGAGAGAGATAAAAAAATATTGAACATATGGGGTTTGTTTGCCTTGGTATTTTAACAAATATGGCTCAGTTTGGGTATCTATTTCAGCAAATAGGATTTAGTTTGCTTGGCATTTTAACATATAGAACAAATTTGAACAAATAAGAGAAAAAATTGAATAGATAGTTAAAATTTTTGAACAGATAGACAAAAAATTTGAATAATTTGAACAGATAGATATAAATTTGAACAGATAGTCAAAAAAATCAACAAAAAATTAGGGGTAAAATTGGAAACAAATGTCCTCCCAAAACAACAAAAGGACTTCTCATTCAATTACTATAGTAATTTTTAAAAAATATTAGTGAAAAATTTCATATTAGCAACTTATGACATATTTGGTCTTATTGACATTCTTCGGGCTAATTGCACTTTACCCCCTCAACTATCATCATTTTTCACTTTATTCTCTCAAATTAAAAATTGATGTAATGTATCATTTTCATCTTTTGAAAAATTTCAATATAACTCTTATTTCTTCATTCTGTTAACAAAACTAACAAAAAGGTGCACGCAATGTGCACATGTCATATTTATGACAAAAACACCTATTAAAAATCTGTCATAAATATCACATGTGCACATTACATGTACTTTTTCGATTAGTTTGTTAACAGAATGAAGACATAAGAGTTAGATTGAATTTTTTTAAAAGATAAAAGGGGTACATTACATCAATTTTTAATTTAAGGGAGTAAAGTAAAAAACGATAATAGTTGAGAGCGGTAAAATGTAAATTTTCCATATTCTTGTAATCATTTTGGTCCCGTTTGATTGTCCAGATTGGATATAAGGGTTTGAGGAAGATATGTAATACCTAAGAATAAAAATGGGATATAATATGTTGTAAGATATGAGATAGATTATATATAATGTGGGGTCATATTATGTTTGATTAAGATAGGATATAGGATGGGATAGTGTAGCTCGACTTTTTCGCGTCCCCTTTCGGAAGTTCGAATATAAGCCCTATAGTTCGGACTCTCGCGGTTCTGAATCTAATCTCACAAGTGCAATATGAAATTGATAAACACCAAAGAGTCTAAATCCGACAAATCATTTGAAAAATTGATTTTGAATAAAAATGCCAAAAATGGATTACTTTGCCAGATACAGAGTCGCTACCTAAATATTTTTGAGAAATTCAGAAAACCCATGATTCGTGCCAAAGGCCACGTGTTCGTCATCACCAAGATTGTCTCAGCTCGGGAACTTAGGTACGAGAGGAAAAGGTCATGAATTGAGCACCCCCACTCGTCCAATCAAAGATCGGCCTCTACTAATCATGATATGATTCTTATCAACATTATATGCTCTTATTCTAGTTTATTTAGGCTAGCATTTACTATGTGATGTGCACACACACAAGTATAGATTAA